CCAATGCATTGAAACTAAGCTTTATTGTGATTGGCTCGCCATCCTTGCGCCATGCCCAATTTGGCATGCCATGGCACGCCCGATTTTGAAATACTATTGGCGACGCCATCTATCTTGCGCCACCCACCCTACTTATAGGTCATCCATACTTGGTTTTTTATTTTCTTTTAAAAATAATTTATATTAAAATACCAATGAATTTTATACTATAAAATTTCAAATTATATTTAACATAATAATAAATTCTTTGTAAAATGCTATAAAACTATAAGTTGTTATAATAATGTTCCTTGTTTTGCTTCTAAAAAAAATTGTCCTGGAATATATAAAAGACTTAACCATTATTTATAATAAAAGTTTCAAATTAATCCAATCGGTTTTGGTTATATCGCTAGTAATTATTTAGTTGAGAGGCTTTGACAGTGGTTAAATTGAAAAAAATATCTAGTAATAAATATAGAGTATGAAATAATTTCTTACATTGATGTTTTTTATACAAAAATAGTTAAGATTCATTCGTTACGTAAACAGTGAGATAAACAGAATAGATTTTATGATGGGTACGGAAACAGCACACATTCGTGACCATAGATCTGCCTGGCAGAGCATGAAAAAAAAACAGTATTTGTGCTAAACGAGAACCATGATGCTTTTTCACCTACGTACGTTCGCATCAGCCAGCCAATTCTGACATATTTACTAGAGCCACCTCAACGACGATCTGAGGCTCATGCAACGCATTCACGTGCAATATACATCGTTCTACTGTTACACTCAAACCACCGATTAAATCGGTTCGATGTAACTGGGCGTTGAATGCTTGGCTTTCAACCTTCAAGTTGATAATTTATAAATGCCTCACGTACTTAGCCTATTAAGCCGTGAGTACTAAGAGGCTTCAATTGTGATTTGGGTTTCAAAAGAGGCGAACGGCTATATGTATATGAAGATACAAGTAGTCGTATAGGATAACTTCAATAATAAATCAACAATGTGACCGTGAAATCTCTTCACGTCAGTCACGTGTACCCGATCGTTAATTCTCTTTAACGGCCGAATTGAGGGGTTTACTAGTATATGAAGACACAAGTAAGGGATTTATGTTTAAGGCAATAAAAGATGATCTTCATGGTAACTTTATTGAAGCGAACAGAATAAGTCTTTAAATACATTTTCGATACACATAAATAATTTACAATGGTTAATTGCCGGGTCTATTTCTATCCGTCTTTGCTTGCACTCATTTTAACACTTCACCACTAATCTTTATTTTAGCACCTTTATTTATATTAGGGCGTTTCTTGGCCATTTAAGTCAGAACCAGCACGCTTTTATAACAAGTAAACGCTTTTTGCGTAGCCGATTACTTAAAAAAAAAAAAAAAACTAATGACAATGTTGTGACTTCGTACCGAAGGACACAATGGGTATTCGGTAAAAATTTTTTGACAAATAAAAAATATCGATTAAATAGGATCTCAATTATAATTTTTTTAACTATTCATGAATTTTTTTTGTAGTTACAATTCAATCCATTCATGTGCAACAGTGGCAAATTTTGGATTAGTAGGAAACGAAAGATTATACATTTTAAATACTGGTGTTGACCCTAATGGTGTGGAGATGTAATCCATGATTCTGTTGACGATATTCTCTTAATAATTATAACACAAAAATAATGCTTATGTTATTCAAACAAATATGATACTAAAGATGGTTTATTTGATTGCTCTTGGAGTGAAGTTAATGAGAATCAAATTGTTACTGCTAGTGGTGATGGTTCTATAATGTTATGGGATATTACTCTCATGGTTGTTTCCTTTACATAGTTTAGTTTTTGGTCTCAAATATTACCTTAATGCAAGCTATGTTTTTTTTTTTTGGATTAGGACTAGCTGTAAACCCGTGCAATAATGCACGGGAAAATTTTAAATTTAAAATAATTATTATATAAAGTTTAATTTATTTTAAATCTAAAAATTGGTTGTTTTAAACCCAAAGTTTTAAGTACTTTGAACCTGAGATTGGTTCGAATTTGGTTTACTTTGAACCCAAAGTTGGTTCCTTTTGAACCCAAAGTTGGTTCTCTTTGAACCCAAAGTTAGTTCTTTTTGAAACTGAAGTTGGTTTTCTTTGAACCTGAAGTTGGTTTCTTTTGAACCCAAAGTTGGTTCCCTTTGAACCCGAAGTTGGTCTTTTTTAAACACAAAGTGGGTCCCTTTGAACCCGAAGTGGGTCCCATTTGAACCCGAAGTGGGTTCCCTTTGAACCCAAAGTGGGTCCCCTTTGAACCCGAAGTGGGTTCACTTTGAACCCAAATAGAGGTCCAAACTGGATGCAAATTTATCACCTGAGTCACCTGTATAACTTTGAAATTGGGTATCTGGGTGAAAATGGATTATATGATATAGTGTGATTTATCATTCTAATACTACTAAAAAATGAAAAACTTCTTATAAAAAAGCTTACAATTTAAAAATGCATATAAAAAAGAATTTGTTACATATTTAGAAACAGATAAATACACATAAAATGTAGTAAATTGATATTTTATCACTAACAAATCCAAACTCAAATCGATCAAAAAATTCAATATGTGAATAAATTATCAAAACTATATATTTTCTGCATTAGTAATAAACCCAGTTATCTGAGTACCAAAAATCTACTAGGCTATTTATTTATTTATTTTTTAATATTAAGGTGACCACTTAGGCCCATGGCATTTTATTAGTTCAAATGAGTAGGCCATTGTTAAGAATGCTAGCTTTACATATTACATCAGTATTATAAGAGTATAACTAGTCACATATAAAACTTTTGGTTGTCTAATTTAAGTAGTTCACCCAAAGCATTAGTGCTATGCTAAGGGTTCTACACTAGATACCATACCTATAGTCTAACTAGAAAGCTATTTACTTTAAACTCTCTGGCTATACCGGTGCTACATGTTTTCTTCTAATATACCTTTTTTATAGGGTAATTTGCTACTTAAGACTCTAAAACTTTAGCTATTAATCTAATTTGAAGGCAATTTATCCTTGTAGTATATCTAACAGAGTGATACATGTCCCATACATATATTCACTTGCATGTTCAATAATTTTTTTCTAACTAGTATCTGTTGTGCTATTATTACCAAGTTTGTATCTCAAGCCAACTTTTGGGATGCTGCTATAATCTGATCTGTATCTCAAGTTACAACCTTTCTAATTAGTCACCTATTACTTTACTCCTTGCCCTTGCAAGGTTTACAACAACTCCAGTACTTGTACTACAACTGTCTTTTTACCCAGATTCTTAATCGGTCTCTTCTTTACTTCCAGCTGGCAACTCGGAAAGGTTGATTTGCTCAGGCTTTAGGTGCCTCAAGGTCACTCTTCTCTTGCTTCATACTTTCGAAGTGTATACTCTTTTTTTTCAGTGTGTTAGCCTAGCAGTTTAGCTAGTATGTCTCCTACTTAAGGACCTAATTACTTGGTTCTTCAATTTCAGGCTCTGGTCCAATACAGCCTTTATGTAGTACCATTGAAGATAATTGCTACTCTCAACTTGGAACTTCCCAAACAGGTTTTCTACACAATGATGAACAATTCTCTAGATTTACACAAATCACTTATACAGATCTTCCAGATTTTACTCTAGTATGACTTAGATTACAGATTTATCTGATTATCTTATATAAGTTAACCATAACACAAACCAAATTTTCAAAATTATTATCCATGGGATTTAAACTCTTGGTCTGCTGCTTGAAAAGGGTAACAACTAGACCACTTCAATAAGTTGCTACACCTCTTCTCTAGATTATTTTTCATAGCAGTAAAATAATAAAAAAAATCAAGTTTTTAGCAATATATATTAGGCTATATAAATTTAATTACTTGGTTTTCATAACATGAAACTTTTAAATTGACTCAGCTATCTGGCTTTTTTTAAAAAAAATTTCATATATAAAATTTATAAAATTTATATAAAAATTTTTTTTAAACTCCACCTAGTTATTAAAACAAATAAAAATTTTTTTTTGAAATTCCCAAATTTTGACCCAGCTGGGTTATGAAAACCAATTAATTTATTTTGTGTAGTCTTATTTTTCTGAAAGGCAAGAAAATAACAAATATTGTTAGAAAAAACAAGTATTGTTAGAAAAAACAAATATTGCTAGAACTAATTTTTTTTACTAATAAAAGTAGTGATTATAAGTTGTAAAACCCAGTTATGTAATTATATAGAAATGTAAAATAACAGAATTTGTTAGTTAGTATAAAAAAAAACATGTTTAAATCTTAACTGATTTGACCTGGGTTATAAATTAAAAACCTAGTTTACTCTTTTTGATCTAGGTTATCTGAGTTTATGTAATCTGATTTAGATTTCTAAACTCGAAATGGGTTACTTTAAACCTAAAGTGGGTTCACTTTGAAACCAAGATGAGTTCACTTTGAACTTAAAGTAATTTCTTTAAGTTTGTATACAAATTTATTAAGTAAATTTATCTTGAAGATTTAAGTAAAGTTGTAAAGAGAATAATTCTGAGTCAAATAATAGCTAGATCATCAAAATTGGGTCTGTAGTTCTTAAACTGAATTATAAAGCAGGCCATTATGAATGAGGATTATAAAAGATTATTTAAGTTAATAAAATTAATAGAAAGTAAATAAGAGGCTGAGAAAATTATACTAAATTTTTATCTTTCATTATATTTATATAAATGTGTACAGGATTATAGGCTATTATACTCTTTTTGGTGTTTTTTATTTGAAAGAATAAATGGAATTTTAAAGTCTTTGCCAAATAGTCATTAAAAAATAGAGTCTAAAATTATGTGAAGACTAATAAATAATAGTCAAATTATCAGTTTGACTGCCTCTATACCTAAAATAAAGAGTATAAAGTTACTGGAAAATCAATCTTTCATAAAGTCTCTTTCAGAAACTAATAATATTTCTTCTGATAAACTGTGTTGATTTTTATTGAATACATATAATGTTTATACTAGTTTTGAATAATTTCTTAGTAAGTTCTTACTACTACAAAAAGAATATTTAATAATTTCAGATAAATTATTAAGTTTGCTAATAAAATAATATATAGCAACTTATATGACAATAAGCTTTAGAAAACCTTTTACTACAATTTTGAAGATTCTGTTATTGTTCTAAATAGGGCAAACAAATATGAAAGATGCTAAATAAGTTCTGAAATATTTAGTTCTAACATGTCTTTTTGCTATATAAAAAGCTAATTTGTTTTGGCTCAGTTCATGAATTATAATAGAAGTGTCGATTTGTATCTTGGACAAGTCTAATATTTTTTTAATTATATTATGCATCAGCTAAACTGACTTATAGAATATAAATTAGCATATGTTAGATAGTACAAACCAGTAAATTTGGCTGCAACTTGTTTCTATTTTAGTGCTAATAAAACTTGTAATGTTGAACTTTGGAACTCTGAATTTTATCCAATTTGGCATAAGTACATTATTCTTGTTATATAATATTTTCAGTTGGTTTATACTATACAAATATAAAATCTTAAATTAGCAAAATTCTTGTGAATATTTGGCTATAATTTCTATAAATAAAAATTTTAATATTTAAACTGATATCTAATATGTATATATATAGGAAAAATTACTAATTTTTATTAAAAATTTTTAAATATTGATATGCATAACATTTGTTGCATGATTTGCTTTTTATTATATATATTATGTATATTATTCTCATATATAAAGTTTGAAACTGGATTTTATTTTTTAATCTGATTTTATATTAATTAATGTTTTTTTTTTCAGATTTAAATCTGAATTATTAAGTTGAATTCTGAATTTATTTAACAATAGTAGTATTTTTTTTTTTTTCCAGGAAGTCATACCACTACTTTATTACTTAAAAAGATAGAAAGAGCACTTCAAATGAGTGAAGTTACAAGTGATTATCTAATTACGACCAATGCCGTCTTGTACTAAAGTGTGATTCATCTAGTTTCTATTTAGACCTATGTGCAATCTGCCAAGAGTAATTGCAACCTCCTTGCTTTATTAGAATCTACATCAAACTCTGATTCTACAAATTACTAGCTAGGAACTACTAGCCCACTATAACTACCTCTTTTCTTTAAATTTTTTCTACCTAGATCCTGGTAGAAAGACTATCCAATAATCTATCTACAATAAATAAACCAAAAAAAAACAAAAATAGAAAGAGTAAATAGAAATGAAAAAAAAGGAAAAGTAATAGGGATAATATATACACTAATAACCAAAAATCAAAAAAACAAAAAACAAAAGAAAAGAGATCAAAAGTCATGACCTACTTACAAAAATGAAAGTGTTGTACTATTATAACCTGTACAAGGCTTATAAAAATTATATAAAAACTACAATGATTTTATATCTCTGTTATAAATCTTTGCCTTATCGTCTATTTTTCTTTCTGACTTTATAAAACATTTGCTCAGCCTGTCCTAAGCCGTAATTTAATAAAGGTTTCAAGCCTGAGACCTGTTCAAAATAAGTAGCACTGTATCCAAAAAAAACATATAGTTGTAATCTACCAGACTGTTCAGATTTGAAAAATAAACAATGCCGATCTTTTAGAAGAGGTAAGTCAAATCCCCACTTTTTGTCGAAAATTTTGTAAAAACAGCAAGAAGGTGAAAAAGAATAATATAGGAACCACTTGGCCAAGGTAAAAGAGTATGGCTTAAGGAAAATATGTTTTTTGCTATTCTTCAGTTATTTTTTAACAGCTCACTTTGTTGACAGATGGCTTAGACTTTTCATCTCCACCTCTCCACCAAAATTTCATATACAAGGGCA